CTGAATACCTGAAACAACTGTACTATGAATAACATGGTAAGTCATGGTGTTACGGAAAAGAAAAGAAAATAAAAGGGAGGGGGAATGGGAAACCAAAACCAAGTCCAGCTCTCTTCTCCCCCCAAAATCAAAGACAAATGGGGGCCAGAGAGACAATACAGAGCTTACGAAGCAGCCTTACATCATTTGCGGCTGAACCTGGCTTCATCTCCAGCCTCACAAGTTCCCGAGCACCACAGGGGTCCCTGGTGTGCCATGGTAACCCCCTGCCTCACAGGGCCTAAGCAGTGCTGCATCTCTGGGCCTCCAAACAGAATCACCGTCCCAGTCTGCTGAGACTCTCTGGGAGGGGCCCCTAAGCCTCCTGAACACTTGGATACCCACCCACCCAAAAACACGAAAGACAAATTTAAAAAGCAAGCTGAATAGCAGTTTGCACCGTGTGATTCCCATTTAAATGTAAGCAAAAATAAATGTTTGGGTTTAGGAAATTTATGAAAAAATACACAAGAAAATCAGTACTTTCTTCTGGGAAGAAGGGACACAGGAGGGGAGGGATTTTGTTGTTGTTGTTGTTGGGGGGGCACACCCAGAGATGCTTAGGGTTACTCCTGGTTCTGTACTCAGAATCACTTCCGGTGGGCTCATGGCACCATAAAGAGTACTAGGGATCAAACAGGGACAACCACATGCAAGGCAAGCACCGTATCCGTTGTACTATCTATCGCTCTGGCCCCAAGGAGTGGAGGAATTTCTTTTTTCAATTCTTCTCTTTTTTTTCGTTTGGGCCACAACTGGCGATGCACAGGAGTTTTTCCTAGCTCTGCACTCAGGAATCACTCCTGGCAGTGCTGGGGGACCATATGGGGTGTCGGGGATCGAATCCAGGTTGGCTGCATGCAAAGCAAACGCCCTATCTGCCGTACTATCACTCCAGCCCCAGGAGTGGAGGAATTTTAACCTTCGACTCTATATTCTTTTCTACCAAGTAGTCAATGTGACTTTTATTATTTGAGGGGTTTGGGGGCCACAGCCAGTAGTCCTCAAGGGCTATTCCTGGCTCTGTGCTCAGGACTGATCCCTGGCAGTGTTGGGGATGGGGGGCCACAGGAAGTGCTGGGGATTTAACTGAGGTTGGCTGCTCCAGGACAAGTACCTCACCTCCCTACTACCTTCTCCATTTTGGCCCCACTTTATATATATATATTTTTTTTTCCAGCATCAAAAATGGAATGAAGGTTCATGCATTATACATATGCACTTTTTCTCTGAGCACTTCACCTTTTCAGCCTTACAGCCAGTTTATGTATTTAGTTCGATTTGGGGGCCACACCCAGCAGTGGTCAGGGCTTATTCCTGGCAGGGCACAGAGACCAGAGATCAAACCCAGGCCAGATGCATGCTTATCCACTCTCCTTTCTGGCCCTACTAGTGTGTGTGTGTGTGTGTGTGTGTGTGTGTGTGTGTGTGTGTGTGGAGAGGGCATAGCAGTGTAGCTGGGGGCAATATGTGGAGGACCAGAGGGTGCCATCAGGGATCAAACCCAAGGCTCCTACATGCAATGCATAACTCACAGGGGCTGGAGACAGCTCAAAGGGCTGGAAAAAATGTAAAGCAAGTACTCTAGCCCTTTGAACGATCTCTTCAACTGTGGGTTTTTATTTTTTTTTTGAGAAAGGAGGTCAACACCCAGCAGTGCTCAGGGCTTACTCCTGGCTCTGAGCTCAGGGATCTTCTGGTAGGATTTGGGGGACCATATGGGACGCTGAGGAATCAAATTTGGGTTGGCCATATGCAAGGGAAACACCTTAGTCGCTCTCTGGCCCTCCCCAACTGCTTTCATTAAAAAGATTTTTTAAAACTTAATTTTATTGTTTTGGTCACTACTGAATGTGGTTCCTGTCCCCTACCAAAAACAGCAAGAACCAAAATACATTTATTTTTGTTTTTTGAACCACACCCAGTGATGCTCAGGGAGACTCCTGGCTCTGCACTCAGGAATTACTTCTGACAGAGCTCAGGGGACTATATGGGATGCCAGGTCAAAGCTGGGCCAGCAGCATGCAAAGCAAGGACCCTACCCGTTGTATTATTTTTCCATACCTCCCACTGCTTTTAAAGTAGAAATTTAATCAATTAATTAATTTTTGGTTTTTGGGTCACACCCAGTCTTGCCGAGAGGTTTACTCCTGGCTCTACAGTTAGGAATTACTCCTGGCGGTGCTCAGGAGACCATACAGAACACCGGGGATCGAACCTGAGCTGGCTGCATGCAAGGCAAACGCCTTACCTGCTGTACTAATGCTCCAGCCCTTAAAGTAGAACTTTTAAACTGCCATGAATAGGAGACCTAGGGAACATTTGATGTTAATCATGAAGCCAGCTAACTTAAATTTTACCTCAAGTATCTCATAACTGTCAGAGCTAAACAAACTCTTCGTTCTACTTCCAGAATTGCTGTCTGGATGAAAGTGGGGAAAGAAAAGGAAAGGTGAGGAGGAAGGGGGTCTCTCTTCAAGTGGAGCTGTCAGGGTTTGAGACCTCCCTTCTCTTAGTGCTCAGAGCCACTGAAAAAAACAAGCACATCAAACAGGATAAACCTCAAAAAGGATGAAGCTTCTCTTCATTGAGGAAAAAAATCAAACTTGCAAATTTGGGAGGATATTATCAATATCCCAAGATCCTAAATCAATTATGATTTAGATGTTACTTTTGGAATTTTAATTTTTAAAAAAATATAATATAATGGTGCTTGGAGGTAGCTTTTGGCAGTGTTTCAGGGAACACGTGGTGATGGGGATCAAACTTGGAGCTCTTGTATGCAAAATATGTGCTACCCCCCACTTGGCGGGGGTACACCCAGAAGTGCTCAGGGCTTACACCTGGCTCTGTGCTCAAGGATCACTCCCGGTGGGTTCAGGGAACCACATGGGGTACCAGGGATAGAACCTGGTCAGTTTACATGCAAGGAGAGTGCTTGTACTCTCGCTCCAGCCCACCAGCCCTTTAAATCATCTCCCCGCACCGCTGTCTTGTTTTTTAACTATGCGGGGTGGAATTCTAGGCACTGAGCTATCTTCTTAGCCCTATGTATTAATATTTTACTTTTGTTTTTTTTTGGCCAGCAGTGCTCAGCAATCATCCCTGCTGGGTTCAGGGAACCATACGGTATGCCAGGGATTGAACCTGAGTCAGTGATGTGCAAGGCAAATGCCCTACTTTTTACGTGATATATATATATATACATATATATATATATATATATATTTTTTTTTTAGCACAGCGGGTAGGGCGTTCGCCTTACAAGCAGCCAACATGGCCGACCCGAGTTCGATTCCTCCGCCCCTCTCGGAGAGCCTGGCAAGCTACCGAGAGTATTCGATATGCCAGACACAGTAACAACAAAGTCTCCAATGGAGACGTTACTGGGCCCGCTCGAGCAAATCGACGATCAACGGGAGGGGGGCCTTTTAAAGGTGTGTTTTTTTTTATTTTTTGGTTTTTTGGGTCCCATCCAGCAATGCACAGGGGTTACTCCTGGCTCTGCACTCAGGAGTTACTCCTGGTGGTGCTCAGGGGACCATATGAGATGCTGGGAATCGAACCCGGGTCGGCCACGTGCAAGGCAAACGCCCTACCCGCTGTGCTATCGCTCCAGCCCCATTTACGTGGTATTTTAATATTACTTTTATTTAAAACCAAAATGTAAAAAAAAAAAAAAAACTTCAAATTTTTTTAAAATAAGGAGATCTTAATTCAGTATCAAGGCTGTTTTGACAAACATGTGGTTTCCCATCTGTCTGAGTGGCTAAAAACAGTCTTGCCTAGACACCTTCAAGGTCACTTCAGTCTTCGGATTTCTTCTAAGTATATTAAGTAAGCAATTAATAAGAAAAGTAGAACTTTTCTGACTGTGGTGGTGAATGTCGACAAATTCCCCCAACTGAGGTGATCAGCTCTTAGAAAACGACGACCCGGTGTTCCTTGGCCACTGTGTTCGTTACTGACTCTTTCTCTTTCCCTGTCTGCTCAACCAACCCGAACTCTGGCAGCTGAGCTGCAGCTTCAGAGTCAGGGGAAGCCCCGCGGCAGTTACGTTCTGCTCCACTGCCTCTTGCAGCCCGGCCTTCAGACTTGCGAGAGGAAACTGAAGCAAGAATCAGCTCTGCCCTTATGGAACTGCACCCGCTGGTGCACCTGCTGGGGCGGCCGCGGGCTGAAGGGCTCAAGCGCAGCGTCACCTGCTCAACGACAATGTCCAAGGGACAGGAGAGAGGAGAGGGGCCACAGAACTCTCAGCCGGCAGCTGTGATTTTTCTAGACTAGTGAGCTTTCCGGTCAAAGTCACCACTCCCGTTCCTATCTGGCTCTTACATTTTAATTGGGTTCTAAGGCTAAGTGGGTTCTAAAGCTCATTTAAGCCCCAGTCTAAGTAACTTGTACCCCAGGAGGCCCAAAGAAAAAACAGATCCTGAAATGAAGTCACTTGCTGCTAGGAAACAAATATGGAAACGTTTATGCAGTTGTTTTTATTTATTCAACTATAAAGTTTAAATGGCAATTTTTCAATAGGTAACACCTTAGATTAATACTAATTATATTGCTATAAATTTGGGTCAGAATCAGAATAGAATTCAGGAAAGAGAGAGAACAAGAGGACAATCTTCAAACATTCAAACTGAGAGAATTCTTGTTTTCCCTTTTTTCACTTTAATTCACTGCTACTTTCCCATGGACCTCCCTCGGCTGGTGTGCGTGTGCGGTGTGAGGAAGCACCGCTCGGAAGAAGCCGCAGGGTGAGCCGCGTGCTGAGTGCCAGATGGAAACCCCAGCGGCTCGTCCATCGCAGGCGCACTGTGCACGCAGAGCCAACTCTCCAGTGTTTCTGAGCATTTTCCCCTCTCACCAACTGCACTCCCGTCCTCTGGCTAAGGCAGAGCCGCACACAATCCCGTGCCTCTCCTGGTTCCATGCTGGCCTGAGGGAGCGCCACAGGCCGGGAAGTGTGCAGAGCCCTGCCTGGCCTTCTGCAGAGCCGCGGCAGCCCCAGCAGGCCGTGGAGCGGGCAGCACGGTGCTTCCCTGGGGAAATTTGGCCAGTGGCCTGTGATTCCTGGTGGAAACGACCAATCAGAAGGAATCCTTATTGCTGGGAAAGGTTAAGAGAAAAAAACAGCTTCCCCTCCAAAGGGGAAACGAAGAAGAAACCAAACATATTGAGAATGGCATAAAAAGTGGTATGCGTAAACTTCTTTTTTTTTGTTATTAAATCTAACTATGAGTTTCCTAAAGTTCAGTTATCAAGTCAAATTGGGTGGAGGGAGGAGCGAGGTCACCTGGTGTTTTCCTCAAGAGTTCACAGCTTCAGGCTGAGTGGTCCTGGGCTTGCGTGGGGGGAGCCCCTTTTTGAATGGGGGCTGGGGAGGACAGCGCTCCACGCCGCCTCCAGTTCCATTGGTCCCTGCAGAGTGAGTCTGGCCCCACTCACTGGTGTTTCCTGGTGTCTGCGAGACAGTACTCGGATACTTGGAGCCCGATGAATACCAGGAGCTATTTCTGTGACGGGCTGCACTGTCATGGCGCCCTTGGTTCGTGGAGTCACCGGACTTCTGGCTTTGTGGCCTGTAGCCTTGGCCTCCTCGTCTATTTCCTGAAAACACCTAAGGACAGAAGAACACGTGTTCAAGGCACTCTGGCATTAGAGTTCCAGCTGCTGCTCCCCAGCTGGAGAGTAATTCTGAAAGCTCATGTTTACGGATCTCGGCCTCCTCTCAACACTTAGAGAATTCTGTCAGCGATTTGATCTAGGCACAATATAAAAATCAATCTTTCACACTTTTGGTCTTGTTTTGGGGTCACTCTTAGAGGAGCTGGGGACTACTCCCGCCTCTGTGTTTGGGGCACCAGGGCTTGAACTTAAGTCTCCCACATGCTTTCAGTCTGCTGAGCCAGCTCTCTGCCACTAAACTGTTCACTATTCCCACCAGCCTTTCCTCCCATTGAAGAGAAGTTTACTTTTCTTTAGCTGATTGGGAGAAAGGGAAGAAAGAAGAGCGAACACTCAAGTGGGCAAGTATTCTATCACACGTTTGAGCCGTGCAGATCATAACCAACTTGTAAAGATACTGAACATTAGGAATGACAAATTTCCGTACGATCTGCTTTGCCATACGAACCAGAGTCAATTGTGCTGTTCTGATGTGTAGTGCACATTTCACATTACAATACATTAAGCGTATGGCATGGGATTTTATTTTTGTCCTTCAATCCTGGTGTTACAACAGTTCTGAAGACTTACTGACAGCACTTTCTCAGATGAGGGAAAAGAGACATGGATCAGGCTTTGAGGTTCTAGTTAGCGTTTGCTTTTTGCTCCATCAGTGTGAGCAACTCTCTCCCTGCCATGTTTCACACCGTGCTTCGAGGGAGTTACTGCTCCAGGTGCACTCTGGCGGATCTACCACTGGGGTGCTTATCTACCTAGAGATGGGAGCACACTCCCAGTGCGACTAATTACCAGACAATCCTACCCACAACAGTTAGGATCACTGCCAACAGCACCAAGTCAGTATTTCTTGGCAACAGGCAGGCTAAATTGGCTGGTGATTTGGAACATACATACCAAATGCTCCTGTGGAACTAAGTGGGGATGGAGAAATTCAAACTCGATGGAAAAATGGCTTTAAAGAGAGGAAGGTCAGGTGCCAAGCTGTCAGCACCGAAACTGTCAACCAACAGAGCTTTCCTTCCCAACGTGCTCAGTGGGGAAGCCAAGGTACCTCTCGCTGAGGTTGGTAGGGCCGGCCACTGGAGTGTGTGGCAGCGGCAGGAGTCTCTCCTGGTGCTGAGTTTCTCTTGTTAGCACTTGTGAGGCTGGGAGTAGAGGCACAGGTGGAAGAGGAAGCAGCAGAGGCATCACACAGGCTATTCAAGGACACCGATGCGGCAGAGCTACATCGAGACCTGGTTGAATAGCTGTTCTTTGGGTGGGACACTGAAACAAAAACAGGAATATCTGTGGTCATGGGATGGAAGAACACAACAGGTAAGGTTGTTCCTATTTCTTCATTTCCCAATGAGCCATTTAAAACGAAGAACTGTGTCGTCGAAAAGAATAGTTGAGAATGGGCAAGGAGAAGGAAAATCTTTCTTCTGTTCTCTGCCTCCAAATTCCCACTGCTTTCTATTTTTATATGCTTTTTAAAGGTATCTGTTTATTTCTTCCTCCCAGGTTTTCTGTTCCTCCATATTTGTGTTTTATGTTCTTGTGATGTTCAAGGAATTACATGCACGACTGGTTGTGGGGTTCACAGTTTTTAAGTTGTGGTGCTAGCTGAGGGTTGCAGATCAGGTTGTGGGGCTTGCATGCTTGACTATCATGCTCAATGAGGTGTGCACTCCTTGATTTTTTTCCTTTTTTGCCACACCTGTCTGTTTGGGCAACCATAAGGTGCTGGGAATCAAACCCCAGTCTCCTGTATGCAAGGCATGTGTTCTGGACTGCTATCATTCCTCTTCTATACTGAAGTCTGTGTGTATAGTATTCCCAATGCTATTCAAGGACTATGTGATGTGAGACAGAATCTGGAGCTCCCACATGCAACCAGCGCATGTACTCTGGTCCTGCATCCTGTTAAGCTGTGGTGCTGGGACACATGTTCACTGAGGTCCACACACAAGGTTCACTGAGGTGCTTGCTAGAAGCTGCTTTGATGGGCATATGCACGCCCACCAGGGGGCATATTTTCTGTGTTTATATGTCTTTTTTGGCTGTGGTACTTGCTGGGGGGGCTGAACCCCTCTTTTTCTGGTGCTCACATGCACCTGGTGTGGTGTGGCTAGAAATTCCTTCTTCTAGTGTCAGGGATCACAGTCAGTAGAGCTGCCAGGACCATGCTCAGCACATGGGGGGCCAGAGCAACAGGACAGCGGGGAGGGTGTTTGCCTTGCATGCAGCCCACCTGGGTGTGATCCCTGGCATCCCATGTGGTCCCCTGAGCGCTGATAGAAGTGATCCCTGAGCGCAGAGCCAGGAGTAATCCCTGGGCACTGCTGGTGTAGCCCCAAAACAACAACAACAACAACAATAACACAAAGCAAAAAAACATGCTCAGCACATGTGGGAGACCAGGGATTCGGACTAGTAACCATTTGCTTGCAAGGTTGGTTCTCTCAGCCACTGATTCATTTCCCCCATCCCTACCTCCCATGCTTTCTAAAGGAACATTTAGATTTAGAGACAGAAGAAGACATGCATGTGATCCAGCCCTCCCCCCACCCCAACCCCCTGCAACTGTGGACTGCTTGACATTTTCTACTAAGCAATTCCTAGGTATGGCTACAGCAACTCACTAAACCTAGGAACAATAATATGGGGTATATGTTCAGTTTCTTATACAGGGAACATTCTGAAGCACTGTAGACTTTGCGAAGAATGAAAAGGTAAATAAAAAGTTAAATCCAGGGCCAGAGAGATATCCCAATGGTCCGCACTCATGCTTTGCATGCAGGTCAAGGCTGGATCCCTAGAACCGCAGAGTCCCTCAAGTATTGGGGGTAGGGCACTTACCTTGCACATGGCTGACCTGGGTTTAATCCTCAGCACCCCATAGGGTTAGCACCCCAGAACCCATGAGCCACACCAGGAGTGATCCCTGAACACAGAGCCAGGAGTAAGGCCTGAGCACCACTGGGTGTGGTCCAAAAACAACCTTCCCCCACCAAAGAAAAGAAAAAGATTAAGTCCATGGCCAGAGAGACAACCCAACAGGCCAAACTCCTGTTTTGCATATAGGTCAAGTCTGGATGGTTCCCCAAACACTGCCAGATATGGCCTCCAAAATAAACTAAACTAAAATTCTTTAAAACAATTCTTTTTAAAAAGTTATTTAAATTTAATTTAAAAATTTTCCATTTTGGTTTCTGGCCCACATCCAACTCAGGGGTTACTCCTGTCTCTGCACTCCAGAATTACTCCTGGTAGTGCTCGGGGAACCATAGGTGATGCTGGGGATCGAACCCAGGTGAGCTATGTGCAAGGCAAGCGCCTTATCCTGGATGCTATCTCTCCAGTTCCTTTAAAACAATTTTTAAGGTTAATGAACTGTCTCTGTCCTCCCATTGTTCATCGATTTTCTCGAGTGGGCGCAGTAACATCTCCATTGTGAGACTTTGTTGTTACTGTGTTTGGCACATCGAATGCATCATGGGGAGCTTGCCAGGCTTTGCCGAGCGAATGAGATACTCTCGGTAGCTTGCAGGGCTCTCCGAGAGGGGCGGAGGAATCAAATTCGGGTCGGCTAGGTTGGCTGCGTGCAAAGCAAATGCTTTATCCGCTGTGCTATTGCTCCAGGCCAAGATTAATGAAGTAAAACAAAAATTTTCAAGCATTTATCTTCTCAAGGTTCTTTCTATACAAACAACTAAATAACTTCAAGATTTCAAAATAAAAGGTATGGGGGTGGAGTGAGGGGAAAGTTAAAAAAAAAAATCCAGGTACCAATGTAGCCAAAAAATTGCTATCTTTCAAAATTTTTTCTTGGAGTTCAACCAGGATCAACGTGACCAAGCTCTGCTTCACTGCCATTCCACGCATCTTAGAGTGACCATGTACTCCTTTCAAGGCTATTCTTTTTAAAGTTTTTTAAAATTTATTTTTGTTTTTGTTTGTGGGGGCGCATCCTGTGGTGCTCAGGGATCACTTGTGGCAGGTTTGGGGGACCATTTATTGTGTTGGGGATAAGCCTGGGTCTCCCATGTGCAAGGCAAACACCCTACCTACTGTACTACTGCTCTGGCCCCTTAAAGCTATTAGTAAGTGTTTTTTTTATGTACCAGGCCAGGCAAGTCTCGTTCTTTCCACTTTGGAGAGTGAAATGAGGTTCAATAAGTCAGTGTACAAGCAGAGACTCAAATCTGCTCTGAGTCCAGAGTTCATGACCCTTAAAAAACCTTTCACACACTCCTTGATTTAGCAGAAGATGGTATTTAGAGGTATTAGAGGGCTGGAAGATACTCATCCTAAGAGTTCAAAGCATCTGTATCCACTGACTTTTTTTTTTTTTTTTTTTGGTGGGGAGCAGGTCACATCCAGCAATGCTCAGGGGTTACTCCTGGGCTCTTCTCTCAGGATTTACTCTTGCTGGTGCTTGGGGTACCAAATGGGGTGCCAAGGAGATCGAACCCAGGTCAGGCACATGCAAGACCAGCACCCTACCTGCTGTATTATCTCTCCAGCGCTCCACTGACTTTGTAAGTATCTCAGAATTAGTTTCCATAAAAAACAAGCAAACAAGCTGGTTAGATGTGGCTCAGTGGCAGAGTACATGTCTCACAGGGCCTGGTTCAATCCATGGCATCGCATCGCATCACACACACACACACACACACACACACACACACACACACACACACACACACACACAAAACCAAAACCCCAAAAAACCAAAATCCATAGCCTGAAAACAAGCTCAAAGGACAGAGCACATGCTTTCCTTGCCAGAGATGGGGTTCTATCCCCAGCACCACATGGTTCCCTGAGCACAGAGCCAGGAATAGCCCCTGTGTGGCCCAAAACCTAAACCCAATCCCGGGAGGCAGAAGGGGAGACACAGTAGAGAAGCCAATCTCTGGGCACGAGAGACTGGGCACTCTCACCACCCCCATCTCAGCATCCAGAATCGAGACTGGTCTCACCTTGTCCAAGTGACTCAATGTTCTTCTTCAGGGTCTCTAGGTCACAGGTAAACCGAGCGACTCGGCCCAGATCCTCATCATATTTACGTTCACTAACAAAGTGCTGGAAAAAGTGCAAAGAAAAGCCTCCAGGTCAGACAAACGGAACATATGAGACTGAGTTTGCTGTACATAGATGAAAAGTATCTGCAACTGTCTGGTTTCAACTGCTCCAATGGCCTTTATATGATTGATGCTGACAAAAATTCAGTCATTTTCTTAAGAGCCTGAAGTCCTGTATGGGGACTTTAGTGTTCTACAATGCCGAGTCCCATTAGGCACAATCAAGAGAACTGTGGTGGAAGGACACTTGCTAGCTCAGGGACCTCTGTCCATTGCTGCCACTCTCCACATTATTCCATTTGTAACGAAGCAGAGGCAGTAAAAACATGCCTAAGTTACAACAAGGATTTCATTTAAGTAGCTGATTTGGTATTCTTTACTAGGTACTTTCTTAGGAAATTTACTTCATTTTACAAAGTGGGATTTTCTAGTAGGATTTTCTTGAAGTAGGAAAGATTTCTTGAGTTGGAAAATCATTTATGTGAAAGTCAACTTTGCAAATGAGAAGGGTTCATGCTAAAATAATTTAATCTTTTTAAATAGCCTGGGCTGACAAGTAACTAATCCCCTGGGTCAAAAAACTCTACCATAAAAATTGTGTGGCTAGAAACATGTCAGGAAGACTGAATTTCTAGGGCCCATTTCTATAAACAATATATAAGGTCGCCAGAAATCTTTTCTCCTCCCAGAGGTAAAGGAGATGAAAAGGAAACAAAGTCTTAGGTAGAATTTAGAAGACTTGAGTTCTTCCTAGCAATCCTCTAACTGGGGATGATGTAACTGCACTTTTTTTTGGGGGGGGGGTGGCTTTTTATGCCACACACAGTGATGCTCAGGGGTTATTCCTGGCTCTGCACTCAGGAATTACTCCTGACAGTGTTTGGGAGACAATATGGGACGCCAGGTATTGAACCTGGTCTGCCTCATGCAAAGCAAAAAATGTCCTACCTGCCATACTATTGTTCTGGTCCCTGTAACTACACTTTAATTTTTTAAGGGGCTGAACCAAATTCACCATTAACAACCTGTAGGTTACACCTTGGAGCAGGGAAAGAGAAAGGTGAAATAAATGATTATTCAGCTTTTAAGTTCTAAAGCTTCAGAGTATACACATGAACTTCTGCTAACAAAGTCTTCAGAGAGGCAATATCAGACATTAATTCTGAATCAAATTCTAGGGTTTGTTGAGTCAAAGACATAACAGGAATGACGGAAATAAAATGATCTGAAAATAAGACATTTAAATTGCAGAGCACCCACTTCAGTACACTGAAACTAGAGAGAAACAGATCCTTAGTCAGCCTGCAGAAATATTTCTAGCAGTTTTTCAACCACGTGGGATGGGGAACAGATGAAGCCTGGGAGCGCCAGAATTCTAATTCCTGGGGGGTTTCCGGCTTCTCCCAAAGAGCTGAATGAGACTGGCACTGGTTTGAGGAAGACTTTCTATAAAACTTAGTAATATAGTTTTAGTTCATCAAAATGGTAATGAACAATATGCGTGTTTAACTACTTCTCCCCAAAATTGTATAAGATGGAATACCATGGTAGAGGTCTGTGTGAGTGACTGGGTCACGAGAGAGGTAATGAGAGAGGCAAGGTCTTAGAAGAGGGGTGGGGAAAGAATGACACAAAAGGTAACAACCCATTTCCTGCAAAGGCCATTTGGATATTTGAAATGTCATCCACGGGCCATATACGACAGGCAAATGAGCCAAGGGGCAGTTGATGAGAAGCAGAGTGTCTGTCCTGGCATATACCACAGTACTTCGCCTCATTCAGTCCACAGGCTGGAAGTTCCCTGCCCCTATCTCAGATGAACTTCCATCTCAGTTCCGGTTTTTAAAAATTTATTTTTGCTTTTCTGGCTATACTCAGTGGTGTTTAGGGGATACTCCCAGCTCTGATTGGTGGTTACTCGCAGCACTGTTATCCCTGTGGTGCCAGGGATCGAACCCAGGCCTTCTGAATGTAAAGTATGTGCTTAACCCGTTGAGCTCTCTCTGTTCCTTTGTTTTCATGTTACAAAGGCTGTTATGCAGCCTCCCCAGCAAGTGGTCCTCTTCAATATGGCAATAAGTCTGTGCTCAGAAAGAACAGAGTAAGGATTCAGGAGTACAGGCCAACACTCCTTCTTCATATAACTCAGTTTATGAACAACTATTTCACCCAGGGCTTCTCAAACTTTCCCCACCTGTGACCCCTTTTTGCCAAAGAAATACAACAGCGGTTTAGTGTTGCCTGAAATAGATTCACCACATAGTTGACTTCTGAGTCAGTTGTATGTTCAGAAACCTTCTAGTTTCCAAACTCTTCACAATCCACACATTCACTTACATGGCCCCATAAGGAGTCACAACCTAGTTTAAAAAGCTGGGAATTGATACACCAGAACACACTCATGGGAGCTGTAACTACCTAGGAACATCCCAGCCTCTCTCAGCTTCCCAAGTTCTGTCCCAGAATTCTTATATTTTGGTTTTTGGGCCACAACCAGCAATGCTCAGAGGTTACTCTTGGCTCGACACTCAGGAATTACTTCTGGCGGTGCTTGGGGAACCATATGGGATGCCGGGGATCAAACCCAGGTCAGCTGAGTGCAAGGCGAGCACTCTTGCCGCTGTACTGTTTTGCTCCAGCACAGTCCCAGAATTCTTTACGTAAGAATTTAATGGAGGGCTGGAGATTTAGTACAGCGGGTAGGAAGCTGGTTTTGTACACGAGTGATCCAGGTTTGATCTCCAGCATTCCATATATATAAATAGTTCGATTCCCTGAACCTACCATGAATGATCCTTGAGTGCAGAGCTAGGCGTAAGCCCTGAGCACAGCCAGGTATAGCCCCCAAATCCAAAGCACACATACAAGCACTAGAGAATTGTAAGGAGCCAGAGATGTAGTACAGGGGGTTAGGTGCTTGTCTTGCATGTGACAGGCTCTGGCACTACATATGCTTCCCAAGCACTATCAGGAGTAAGCCCTGAGCACAAAACCAGGACTTAAACCCCGAGACCATGAATGTGGCCCATAAACCAATAAAAGAAACAAAGGTTAAGAGTAGGGGAAAGGGGAGTGAGGGGAAAGAGCATTCTGGAAAGATAGACATGCTTTCTCCCGGAAGGGAAACAAGCTATGCCTATAGAAAGGGAACACGGGCTGAGCACAGAGAACAGGTCGAGTGTGCAGAAGTAAAGCGGGTGACTGAGTTGGCAGGGAAGAATTAGTCTTGAGCCTAAAGCAATGGAAAGTTTGAAGCAGGTCACTCTGGTGTGAGGAACCCATATGGAGGGGTAGAAGGACGGTGCAGTGGCATGGTAGGTGGGTGAAACTGGTCAGTTAAGTGGCTGTTGTGGAAGTCCAAGAAGGGGTTAACTGGAGCTTGATAGTGAGGCAGAGGGGAGAGATGAGGAGAAAAACTCAGCTCTTAGATTTAGAATGAAGCCAGCTAGACAGGGCCGGGTGAGCTGACAGAGTTAGTGTGAGAAAAGGAGAAATTCCCTCAGTTTTCCAGCTTGGAGAGCTGGACCCATGAAAGTATCGCTTATAGAGAAAGGACACCTGGAAGAAGGCAGTTTTGGAAGGGAAGGCCAGAAACTCTTTCATCAGGACTAGCCATAAAGTATAGAGATTTGTTACTTATTCCTGGAGGCCACAAAGGTAGAGAAAGATGTTTACCTTGATATCAGCACGGAGCTCGGCCAATTGCTCCTCCGACATCTGCACGGACATGTCAGTCATCTTCTTTAGAAGTTCTGCTTTCTTTTGTCGACCGAGCAAGATTTCCACTGTAAAGAAAAAGAGAGTATGACTCTTCTGATTATTAAACATGATCAAGAACTTCCAGTATATGCTTTGTGGTACACATTTGGATAGCCAAAGATTTAGCTGCCTACCAATCCAGAAAACGAAATACCAAAGGTCCAGCTTCCACCTTCTGGAAGGACTCTGAAGACAGCTATACAGTAAACACTTTTAATGAATCATAAAGACTCATAAATCATTTGTCATTTTTATTTCTCCTCTTCCAAGTCAAAATTTTTTTCAAGAAGCATATAATTAAAACAGAAATATGCACACATGGAAAATAAATCATCTGGGAAAAACTGAGTACGAAATGGAAAGCAAAAAAGCGTCTCTTCTTTGGCCCCCTCTTCAGACAAAACCTATGCTAACAATTTCTTTTCTCTCCCTTGTTGCCGCCACTGAGATGTACCTAATTAAATGACTACATTAATCACATTTCCCCCCAAAGAACTAGTTTCATTTATAACAACTAACAGGAAACTAGTTCCTTCATTTATAATAAGAATAGGAAAACCCGACTGACACAGCTGGTGTGAAGATCATATACGAATGAGTGCGAAAAATTCTGAACTGCGAAAAGAACTATGAACAAATCAATTAATAAAACTAAATGGGTAAGAAAAGAAAGAGAAGCATCTTGGCAGTGTTGGTAAAGGAGTGTATTAGAGGGGCTGGAGTGATAGCACAGCGGGTAGGGCGTTTGCCTTGTACACGGCTGACCCGTGTTCGATTCCCAGCATCCCATATGGTCCCCTGAGCTACCGCCAGGAGTGATTCCTGAGTGCAGAGCCAGGAGTAACCCCTGTGCATTGCCAGGTGTGACCCCAAAAGCCAAAAATAAAATAAAATAAAATTAAATTAAAAAAACGTGTATTAGAGTCACAGAAAAGGATATTTAGAAAGGGAGAAAGAAAATAAAAATATAAAACTGACGAAGAAAATCTCTGTGAATTTAAGGAAGACTGGTCATGTGTTACTAACATGTGTTGAAGCCAGGTGATAAAAGCTGATTATATTAGCGTCTTCATTGATCACAATTTTCTATAAAATACATACTCTAGGGTTGGGAGACAGCTAGAGTGGGAGGACACGCGCTTTGCCTACAGGCATCCTGGATTTGAGTCCTGGCACTGCAAGGTCTCCAGATCACCTCCAGGAGAGGCCCCCAAGCATGAGGTTTGGCTCCCAAACCAAATCTCCACCCCAAATACAAATTACTGTAAGAAACCCTTTCTCTTATTAGCTCCCCAGTTCCCTGAGCTGCTGCTGCTGCTGCTGTTGTGATGACAGGGATCCCTCATGCTTGGTCACAGGGTCACAATGGTCATGTTCTGCACCCCAGACTCCAGTCCTGTCATGGCAGAGGTAGCCACATTCCTGGCTATGGTGCTAGCATGACTTTATTTTTACATTTTTAATGTCTTATTATCCCCTCCGCACTCCGTTGTCATTTGTTGTCAAGCTGTGGGGCTGCTTGCGACCTGTGATCCTTTGACTTTGGTCCTACACACACACACACACACACACACACACACACACACACACACGAGCGCATGCACCGGGAGCTGCTGTGGTCCTCACACAGCTACTTTCCAGGGGGTTGTACTTCCTGGCCATGGAGCTCACATTTTTTTTTCTTGGTGGACGGGTGGGGGGGGGGGGTTTCCTAAGTAGTGCTCAGAAGACCCAGGGCCCCCTCCTGCTGATTCTTCTGGGGTTAGCTGCATGCAGGTCAAGTGCCTTAACTCTTTCTCTCCTCCAGCTCACACATCTCTTTTGATTGCGGTGCTCACTGGTTGCTACATACACATACTTTGGTTGAGGCCTTGCACTTCTGGCTTTAACACTTGAAAGGCATAAGCCACTGAGCTAGTTCTTCAAGCCCCTTAGGTGCAGTGCCTGCACACAGTTAGCTGTGTATTGGAGATGGCACTGTTATAGCACCCGTGATTCCAGGCAACGTCATGGAATTGGCACTCAGTACAAGTGAGTGACACTGGAAATGAAGCCATGGCTTTATGCTCGCAAGGCAGGCACTTCTGCCACTGAGCCATCTTCCCATTAGTTTTATTTATTAGCTCCCTTTTCCCCCCCACACCCAGCAATGCTCAGGCATTACTCCTGGCTCTGCACTCAGGAATTACTCCTGGTGGTACTCAGGGGACCATATGAGATACCAGGGATTGAACCCGGCTCGGCCACATGCAAGGCAAACGCCCTACCCGCTGTGCTATTGCTCCAGACCCTTAGCTCCCATTCTTACTAGTTTTATTTCACCCAGATCTTCCTCTTTATGTATTTGGTCTTGGGGCCATACTTGGTGGTGCTTTGGGGCTCTCCTGGCTCTGAGCTCTTGATAGTGCTCGAAGACAGGCAGGGAGGGTCTGGCTGCATGTAAGGCCAACATCTTAACCCCTGTACTCTTTCTCCAGCTCAGAATCTTCACTGTTTCCCCCCCCCCCCCCTTTTTTCTTTTTTTTTTTTTAAACACACCTGGCTGTGCTCAGGACTTTTTTCTGGCTCTGTGCTCAGGAATCACCCCTGGTGGGAGTTCAGGAGACCTTATGAGGAGTCAGAATTGAACTTGGGTCAGCCTCATGCAAGGCTTTAACCTTTGTACTATCTCGTCATCCCTAAATCTCCACCTTTTTTGAACGGGTTGTGGGGTCACAACCAGTGTGCTCAGGGATTACTTCTGGCTCTGCACTCAGGGATCACTTTCTGGTATACTCAGGGGATCATACAGGGTGCTGGGGATCAAACCTGGGTCAGCCGCTTCTAAGGTAAGAGCCTTACCCACTGTTCTATCTCCATCATGAAAAAAAAAAGAAACATAAGTACAAGAACACACTGAACTGTCACATTTAGAAATTTCAGAATTTAAATAAATTCAATTTAAATAAAATCTCACCTGTGAAAAATAGTGACAAGCACCTGTATGAATTCAACATTGTAGGACGATCAAAATGAATAAAATACATCAAAACTGAACTCAGCTCAGTATTCCAAAGCTGCCTCCTCTGGCCCATGGCCACAGATACAAATGATTAAACTGTGAATCATCATCTCAACCTATGTTCTCTTCTTACCAGTATGAGAGCAGGTTAAAAGAACTAATCTTCCTAATTACAAATCTGGCATTCAGTTCATGAAAGTAAAACCTGCTGCTGAAAAGCCCCAAATCAACAACATCTCTGTCCGAGCTGCAGCTGGTATGCCCTTCTTTTCATACAGCTGTGTATCTGTCACCTAACTCCTCACAGAAATGACCAGAAGAGAAAAATCTGGCTCTTTTGTACAAAACCCCATAGATTACCCAAATTAGAGTCTATTCTGCCAGAATCTATTTTAGCAAGCTATCAACGAACCCTGTTCATGGCATCCTGAACCCTCAAATCATTGACATTTCTGATCCAGTGATAACAGACACTAAGGGAACACCGTTCTACAAACTGAGAAAACAAAGTTCTGATACAGGTAATGACAGAAATGCATATATTATTAGTGAGTAACCTTGTGAAGTCTCCTTTAATGAATCCCTATTTGGAAAAAAGACAAAATGAAAGTATTTAATCACTGGAGAAAAACACAAAATAAAGCCTGGTCTTCTGTATGATGCCTCATCTCCTAAACTGAGGCTGTGGCGAATACTGAAAACTGCATTAAAAATATTAAACTATAGAAATCTCTTAGACAAAAAGACTCTTGTGGGGCCAAGACTGTAAGTTTGCATGCAGGAGCCCTGTGTTCAAATGGTACTGCATGGTCCTGTGAGCACTACCAGAAAGAGACCAATAAACACCAAGCTACTGAGCACTGCTGGGCACAGCCCCCAAACCAAAACACAAGTTTGGGAGGATTTTGGGTCATACCCCACTACGCTCAGAAGTTACTCCTGGTGTCGTTCACAGATCACTCCTGGCAGTGTTTAGGGAAAGACATGCGATAAAAGGCATCAAACTTTGTATGCAAGGCAAGTGCCTTAGCCATTGTACCACTGCTCTGGCCCCACAAAGAATGACGGTATAACTGAGTACATTATTGTGGTATTTATACTATGCTTCTGGTTTTTGGCTTTTGTTTGTCTGTTTTGTTTTGGGTTTTAGGTCACATCCAGCAATGCTCAAGGGTTACTTCTGGCCCCGTACTCAGGAATTACTCTTGGCAGTGCTCCAGGAACCATATGGGACACCAGGGATCGAACTTGGTTCAGCTGCGTACAAGGCAAACGCTCTGCCTACTGTGCTATGGCTCTGGCCGCTACTGTGCTTGTTAATGATGCTGAGACATCTCCCTATAAACTGTTAACAGTTTCAATTAAAAACAGTCTTAAAAAGAAAAAAAAAACCCATAACAACTTACTTGCTTCAGCTTTCACTTTGTCCATTTCAGCAAGCAGTGCAACTTCTCGATCCATTAAACTAGAAAGGGGCGACAAAAGAAAACCTCTGATCAGAAACTCAAATAGAAATAGTTCATTGTTGGGCTAGAGTGACAGCACAGCAGGTGCTTGCCTTGCACGTAGCAGACCTGGATTCAATCCCATATGGTCCCACAAACACCACTAGGAGTAATTCCTGAGTACAGAGCCAGGAGTAATCCCTGAACACCCCCGGGTATGGTTGAAATGCAAAAAAAGAAAGAAAAAGGAAGAAAAAGAAAGAAAGAAAGAAAGGAAGGAAGGAAGGAGGGAAATAGCACATTGTTAATCTAGAGAAAAACTAGAATTAAAGTATTCTAGGGGTTGGAGTGATAGCACAGCGGGTAGGGGGTTTGCCTTGCACGCGGTCCGACCCGGGTTCGATTCCCAGCATCCCATAAGGTCCCCTGAGCACTGCCAGGAGTAATTCCTGAGTGCATGAACCAGGAGTAACCCCTGTGCATCGCTGGGTGTGACCCAAAAAGCAAAATAAATAAATAAATAAATAATAAAATAAAGTATTCTACAAAGTATATATGCAGAGAACATGTGAAAATTCTGATGCTCACTTGAAGAATATTTTAAGGATTCTGGGCTGGTGCGACAGTACAGCAGATAGGGCACTTGCCTTGCATATGGCAGACCTGGCCCAGGCACCCCCTAAGGTCGCCAGGAGTGATCCCTGAGCAGAGTCAGGAGTAAGTCCTGAGCACTGCAGGCAGTGTATGACCCAAAAACAGAAAACAAAAAAAGAATATTTTAAGGATTTTAATAAATTAAATATATCTACTCCCCTTTTATTACTATATATTATGGTAAACCAGTAGCTATTAAAAGTTTAGAGCTGGAGCTAGAAGTCTAAAAGTTGAAAACCCGGGGCCAGAGCAACAGCACAGTGGGTAGAGCGCTTCCCCTTCAAGCAGTTGACCCAAGTTCCATCCCCAGGACCCCATATGGTCCGGAGTCCTGCCAGGAGTGATCTCTTAGCACAGAGGAAGGAACCAGCCCTGAGCACCAAAACCACAACAAATAAAAGACCAGTAGATGGCAGCAGAAAGCCACCAAAAACATTCCCTAATAAACTGCTAAATCAAAAGTGTAGAAATCACATTATTTTCATGTATATGCTCAAACATATTTTCTGGGGAACCCCAACAGTGCTCAGGGGACCCAGAGGTTACACCAGTATCCTACTGGCTTGATACTTGGCTCCAGTGGTGTTAGGGGCCACCAATACTAGGGATCCAACTTGCGACCTCATGCAGGCAAGTTACACACTCCATCCCTTTGGGATGTCTCCTTGGCCTCTAGAATTTATACATATATATGTATAAATACATACTATGTATTCAGGTCTAGAAAATCAGATTTTCTTCTAATTTTTTGGTCAAATTTCCTATTAAGGTATGCTAAATTTGTCCACAGTAAGTACTTGTCTATTTTCAACTTTCTGCCATAGTTGCAGAGGTTTACTAGCATTTTATTCTTATTTATTGTTTTTTGGGCTACAGGCAGTGGCACTCAGGGATCACTTCTACTAGGCCTGGGGACCACATCGGAGGCTGCGGATGGAACCTGGGTCGGCCGTGTGCAAGGCCAGAACCTTATCTGCTGCAATATTGCTCTTTCTTTAATTAAATTTTTAATTAAAAAAAATTTTAGCTTTGTGGTCACATCTGGTGATGAGGATGTGCCCCCCCAAACCACATAACAAAAACATTTATGTATACTAGTTCAACTTAGCTCAATATGGAGTTTTGTTAGCGCAAGATAGTTAAAAACTATAGTATGAGATGCATAAAAAACAAACAAACAGTATAAAGCAGGCTCATTTCCTCCAAGAAACAACATCCTTTACAGGGCAATGCCAGACAACATCAATTTGATAATTATTATGCATGTTAATAAACAGAGTTGTAATGAAGCACATTTGGTTGGCATATTAATTCAAAAGCACCCGACTGAAGAGAAGATACAACTACTGTTGCGTAGCAATGCTTTGCTAAGAAAGCATTTCCCAAACCTTGGCAGTATTTTGCTTCAAGAACTCTAGCAGCATTTGGAATACCTAAAAGGCAAAACAAAAGCACAACTGAGCCAGGAGCTGCCAGGCCTGAGCCTGACATCACCTCTTTGCTGCTGCCAAGTCACCTTATGATGCAGACATTGTGTCCATCAGATGACAGATTCTTTGTCTCTGACAAAGCATGTAAAATATTTATTAAAAGGCTGCAGCAAACAAGAAAGCCTCTTGCAGCTTGCAGTCCTTATTATAAAAAGTAGAATGGCACTCAAAGCATTTAGTAAGGTAAAAAATACCTGTAACTCCAGCCTTTTTGGAAAACAATATGAGCATTCCTTAAGAAACTAGAAATTGAGTTCTGTATTACCCCACAATACCACTTCTGAGAATATATCCTGAGAGTGCAAAAAAAAAAAAGGCAGAAATGACATCTGTATCTGTATGTTCATTGCAGCACTGTTCACAATAGCCAGAATGTAGAAATAACCCTAGTGCCTGAGAACAGACGACTGGTTAAAGAAACTTTGGTACATTTACACAACGGAGTACTACGCAGCTGTTAAGAAAGATGAAGTCATGAAATTTGCTTATAAGTGGATGCTCATGGAAAGTATCATCCTAAGTGAAATGAGTCAGAAAGAGAGGGACAGACATAGAATGACTGCACTCATCTGTGGAATATAAAATAATATAATATGAGATTAACACCCAAGGACAGTAGACACAAAGGGCCAGGAATATTGCTCCATAGTTGGAAACCTGCCTCATGAGCTGGGGGAGAAGGCAGCTGGAACAGAGAAGGGATCACTAAATCAATGATGGAGGGATTGTTCTGGATGGGAAATGTATACTCAAAGTAGATCAAGGACCACATGCCTCTCAGTATCTGCACTGCAAACCATAATGCCCAAAAGCAGAGTGAGTATGGGGGAAATTGTCTGCCACAGAGGCTGGGGGAGGGTTGGGATGGGGGGACAGATACTGGGGATATTGGCGGTGGAAAATGTGCACTGGTGGAGGGATGGGTGTTGGAACATTGTATGACTGAAACTCAAACATGAAAGCTTTGTAACTGTATCTCATGGTGATTCAATTAAAAAGAAAAACACAAAAATACATGTACTGTCAGTCTTCTTTTGAGGTAGCAAGAGTTAAAAGTAGACCATGACAGTGCTTTTTCCCCCTGTGAAAAGGACTGGTGTCTTCTTAAGCTCTGTTTCTTTTGTTTTTGGGGGCCATACCTGGCAGTGCTCAGGGGTCACTAATGGTGGGGAACCATATTTGGTGCTGGGAACTGAATTGATACTGATTGAATGCAAGGCAAGCATTTTAGCCCCTGTTCTATCTCTTTGACCCCAAACTTTATTTCTTCACTGATCTGTTGGAGATGATAATAAGTTCATATGGCAGTGAGGAGAACCACAACTCCATTTGGAAAAAAAAAAACTGCTAAGAAAGAAAAGACAGAAAAGACCCCAAAATAATACTAATTTTTAAAAAATTAAAAAACAAAACTAGTTTACATTCCTATGCCATCAACAAAAAACAAACAGAAACTTGAAACGTAGTAAGCTCTTCTAATTCTCTTCCTCTGTTGTTTATCATGTTGCATTAATTTTGTTTCCTTGCTCAGGTTCCTGGTTCAGTGCTCAGGGATCACTCCTGGCAGGAGGCTTAGGAAGCATATAGTGTGCTGGGGGCTTAACCCAGTTCAGCCTGTGCGATGCATGCACGGTGTCTGTTCTCCACTGTCTCCAGCCCCATTATGTTTAATCTGCTGATAATACCTATTGAAAGTTCCAGTCAAAAATCAAACCGAGGGTGGCACCAGAGACTGCATAGCCAGCAGGGTGCTTGCCTTCTATGAGGCCAACCTGGATTCAAACCTGAGTACCCCATAATTTCCCCCAAGCCTGCAATAATGATTCCTGAATGCAGAGCCAGGAGTCAGCTCTGAGCACCATCAGGTGTGGACCCAAAACAAAGAAAAAAATAAAATGAGGGAATTATGGATGTAACTCAGTGATAAGGCACTCTCATATATGAGGCCTGGCACCAAAATAAAAGAGAAATCCCCCAAACAAATAATTAAATACAGAAATTTACAATGTAAACATCTGGAGTTTTAACTTGGTGAAAGTTTTAAATGAATTTTAAAATGCAAAAGTATCTGACACTAAGCTTTAGACTGCGAAGGCCCAGAACGATAGTGCAGGGGATAAGGTGCTTCATTTACAGGTGTGGCTAACCCAGATTCAATTCCTAGTACCACGTATGAGTCCCTGAACTCCGCCAGGAGTGATTCCTGAGCACAAAGTCAGGAGTAAGCTCCAAGCACCATTGGGTGAAGCCCAAATCCCTACTACTCTAATAATAATGGCGAGTTTTGAATTGTGAAGAATCCATTCCAAACACAATACTTTGCTATTTATACAACTAGATAAAGAGAGAAGGTATCTCATCCAGGAAGTTCTGGGGTTGCTACATAACCGATCCCCAGAGACACCCTGCTTTCCCTCCCCCAATTTTTGGAGGGGCTTGCTTTTTTTTTTTTCTATTGCACCTTGTCATGCTCAGGACTTTCTCCTGGTAGTGCCCTGGGGACCGTGCAGTGCTGGAGACTGAACCAGCGTGCAAGGTAAGCACCCAAACCTGTAGTATCTTACATTATCTCTCTGGCCCATGTAGATGGTTTTGTTGAAAAACTAAAGCCTATTAATTCTAACTCTAATAGTAACCACACAAATTCTAATAATTCTAATAGTAGCCAAGCAAAGCCAATGTAAATATCTCTGAAGATACTTTCCTCGTGGGCTAGAGCGATAGCACAGCGGTAGGGCGTCTGCTTTGCAAGCCGCCGGCCTGGCCAAGCCAGGTTGGATTCCTCTGCCCCTCTCGGAGAGTCCAGCAAGCTACCGAGAGTATCTCGCCTGCATGGCAAAGCCTGGCAAGCTACCCGTGACGAATTCAATATGCCA